CCTTTTCCAAGGGGTTTCCGAGGGAAGGGCAACTCCTGTTTTCCGCGGGGCCCTTCGGGGGGGGCCCCGGTTCAAACCTCCAGTGGCAAGGCAAGGGGGGCCCCCGGGATTTCTGTGAGGGCCCCCCCCCCCCCCCCCCCCCCGCCCTCAAAGAGCGAGGGTGGCGACCGACTTCGGGGGCGGTGGTGACGACGGGGAGGAGGGAGGGGGCGGCAAGGGGGGCGCCAAGGCCCCAGAACTGGCGGTAACAACGGCCATCTCCCCCCTGCCCTGGGCGGCACCGGGGGGCTTACCGTGGGGGTGGCTGGTACCGCACAACCCGCGGGGCGGGCCGACAACGACTTTATGAAACTAGCGTGGCGTGGCGTTGACATGAGCACAAAGTTGCTAATGTGCGTAGACGAACAAAAAGTAAGTAGGGTTGAATTCGTCCACGTAAGCGGTAAGTAAGGCTTGGGGAGTGCTTGGCCTTGGGGTGGCCTCAGGCATCCCCAAGGGAGTCGCAGCGGTGCCCCAACCAAAAGCAGCTTTTAGCGATTGTCGAACCTCGAAGCGCGTTCGTTTGACTTTGAAGAAAGGCACACGGTACTATCGGGCCACCGGTGTCGGGTCACCGGGAAACGAAAATTCGACACTTTGAGGGGTGAGAGAATGCATTATTGTGGCACATCATGTCACATAAAGTCAAGCTTGACCGCAGAAGCATCAAGAAGCGGATACTCCAGCTCGACTGTGCCGGCAAACTGCCTCCTCAGTCCTCACGCCGGCCGGCTGCCAGCAGCCGTCGCGGCCCGTGGCGTGCACCAGAGAGGGGGAGAGGTCGAGTCCGCGTGGCTCAGGCCGGCCAGAAGGTGTGTGGCGACGGCACCGTGGCAGGAGTGCGGAGAAGAGCTCGCCAAACGCGAGCAGCGGAAGGCCGAAGTGTGCCAGCGCGAGAGCCTCGCGAACGGGTGCAGAAGGAGCTCGCCGTGACACGATGCCGGGCGGTGGTGGTGGTCTGGCGACTGTGCACACGAGTGGGAAAAGTCAGGCTGCAACAGGGTAGCACGATGGTAGTGCCCCGCTGCAGCCTGGCCTGACATGCACAGGGCGAACAGAGACCTTGCTATCGCCTAGCGCCTGGCCTAGCGC